GTTTGTTTTTCTGTTTTTTAAAAGAGGTAGTGATTTATTTAATTACAACCTGTAATCTATTACAGTTAACTTTTATTTGTTTAACTGTTTACAAAAGGTCTGAGGATCTGAACTGCAACAAAATATGAATGTGCGGTTGGAGGATTGTGGGTGGGGGGGCAGAACTGGTCCCAGGACAAGAGACATGGTGATGCAAGTATGTGTGGCTGACTGCTGAGATGAGACCTCACTCATCTCTGGTCTCTGGCTCTGTTCCTTCAGGTCCAACAAGGCTTTGGCTGCCTCACTGGACCGAGCTGTGGACCCACAGGACCCCCTGGTGAACAGGTTGTTCAGAATGATGGCCACCACTGCTATGTCACAGGCTCTGTACTTCTCCACTGGTGCTCATCCTCAAGACCAATACTACCATTATGGTACGATACCTCTGCACAGCTTTTATTGGCTTTTCCATGTCCATGAGTTTCAGTGTGACTGTGGGTCGGTCCATCCATCACACGTCTGCACACACGTATCCAACGTCTGTTGTTTGTGAACAATTATTCGACTAAGAACTGATATTTGCTTCGTTGTCGTAGGTCTGGCTCTGGATCGCTACACACACTTTACCTCACCCATCCGTCGGTACGCAGATATCGTCGTGCACCGCCTTCTCACCGCAGCCCTGCACATGCAGAGGGGCGTCGTGTCTGGTAAAGCACCAGCCAGTAACAAAGAAGTGGAGGAAATGGCTCACCATGTCAACAGCAAGAACAGGGTCAGGGGTGTTTTATTGTTCGTGTTTTTCAATGATTCACCTCTTACTATATTAACAGAAACTGTGCTGACGTCTGTGTTTCGTTTCCAGGCAGCGCAGGCAGCACAAATGCGATCCACAGCACTGTTTCAGTGTCTGTTCTTCAGAGACAGAGACCCTCAGACAGACCCGTGCTGTGTGGCTGACGCTGTTGTCTACTCCATTCGAGACAACGGTGTCTTGGTGTTTATCCCAGAGTAAGAGCCTGCTTCAGTCCTCTGTTTTCTGCAGTCTTCTTTGTTTCATGCAGCTGTACAACAGCTCACAGACGGCCAACCACTAATGTTTTTAATAGACGAATTCAAAGTTTATGACAATGAATGAATTTGTTGGAAGCTGTAATTGCACGCTAATCAATGTATATTTAACAGTAGACACACTAGTTTTATTTTCTCTTAAATATGAGTTTTAAATTGTATAAATTTACTAAACGAATTCCTTAAACATTTATTGTGAGCGGGGAAAATTGGCTAAAACACCAAATCTTTTCTGTTAATTAACTTTAAATAAGTTAATTGCATTGCTGAAGTTGAGTCTGTGGGGAGGGACGGTGCTTTGGAGCCAGCCTTGTGTCACAGAAGCTGCAGTTTGTGGCACTTCTACGTTAGCTTAGCGAACCTCTGGAGGTTGCTGCTTGTTTATTGCAAGGAAAGTGTAATTTAATAACATCAGTGTTCTCCATGCTTGTGGTGTTTGTACAGGGATATGCAATATTAACAGTTTATTAAAATGTAACCTGTGGTCATTTTGAAAAGGCTGTAGAATCCATGTAATGATTAAAATCACAGGGCATAAAGCAGGTGGAGTGATTCAATTCAATTCAATTTTATTTATATAGCGCCAAATCACAACAAAAGTCGCCTCAAGGCGCTTCATAGATACAGAGAAAAACCCAACAATCA